GCTTGTGAGATGTGGGGCAGTGATGGCGTGTACAGCGACGTGGGCAACTTGTGTCTACACAGCCGTCAGCAAAGGCAACAAGGGGTGGAGGCTGGTTGCCTGTCTGGTGCATGTGGTTGAGTCTACAGCCAACATTGCCCTCTTGCTCCGTACAAGTTGCAGCGCTAGGTTCCATCAGTTGAATGCCGTGGCAAAAAAACGCATGGAGTCCCGGAGCAGTGCCGCTCAGCAGCCGACCACCACGTGCGACGCGGCGGTGATCGTGATGTGCCTTGTGAGCTGGTTCATGTGCCATGCAGCGCAGCTTCGGCTTCTGTCCATGGCCAGCATCGATCCGACCTGGCAAGCTTACCTTCTTCCCTGCTTTCAACGCCTCTACCGTGCAGCATGGTCGCTTTGGCTCTTGCACCTAAACAAGCAGCTGAAAGACATGGTGGACAGCTTTTGCCGGAGTTGCGTAAGGTGTCCGGGCAGTTTCGGTGAGGCAGCGGATCGCTGGGCTTATGTCACAGCTTTCGCTGGGCAGGTGACGCAAGAGGGTGATGCGTTGCAGCTTGGGCTTGCAAGAACGAACGACAGCACAGTAGGTTTGGTCTGAGGCCATGGTTGCGGGCGTGGGTTGAGGAACCCAGGTTTCAGGATTGTCTAGATCCTGACTCGTAAACTGCTGGTAAGCCACATTTCAAAGCTTGCTTAACCCCTAACCTCCAGAGCCCTGACCGCTCGGCGTTCTGGGACTTCAGGTACGTCGTCATGTGTGGAACCCTGGTACTGGGAGCTTTCTCGCCCATGGTGGAAGTCTTCCTCCCAGGCGGGTCGGTGTCAAAATCTCAGAGGGGGTCCCTTCTGAATTTTTTTTAAACGCATTATGTAAGTTTAGGCTTCAGGGGTTCAGGGCCTAAGCCCAAGACAGCTAGTGCGGGAGGATCCCTCAGGTGCACTGTCCACAGGTCCGGACTGGTTGCTACCACAGCTGTTCAGCAGCATCGCAAGCTTCTTCCTCATGGTCTACTTGATCAGGAGCGGGGTGGAGGTAAGTGAAAAGTGCCAGAGGGCAGCTATCTTCATCAACAGCATGCAGGGGAGCCTTTCTGCAGACCGC